TTAATGTTTCAGGAGGTGCTTGGTTAGGGGAAGTCATTTTTTTATACTCCTGATAATGAGGATCTATTCAAAATGATGACTGATTTGTGTTGAGATGAAACTGAATATTCAAATGCAATAAGATTATGGAGGATCTGTCTGGTCTGGATTTGTTTAAAATGACTCCCAACTACACAATTTTAAATGTTTATTCGAATTGGTTCTCTCTTTTCATGTTTAAAATACTAACAGTGATTGGCCTCAGTTTCTACGATTGTCAATTAGGAGTAAAATTGTCATGCCTCACAGTTTTTTCTTTGCTTTTCTTTTGGTAAGCATGCAGGAAATTACACAAGTCATACATTTAGAGCTCAGTGAATTTCAGAGTTAACACATTCATGTAACTAGAGCACAAATCAAACTAGAAGCTTAACATCATCCTAGGAGGCCCACATATGGCCCCTTTCGTCACTACCACCCAAGCCTCGTGACTTCTAACACCACAGACTGTGCTTTGCCTGTTTCTGAACTTTATGTAAATGAAATCATACCTGTATTTAAGAATGAAATTGGAGGAATGCTTATGGGGTGTGCACATGGTCAATTTTCACAGATACAGTTTTCCAAAGTGGGTGTACAAATTTACATTCCCACTCACCAGAAGTATATGAGATTTTGTTTTTCCATATCCTTGACAACATTTGATATTTTTATTTTAGCCACTTGGCTTATGTGTAGTCGTATGATTTTGTGGTTTCATTTTGTACTTGCCTGGTAACTAATGATGAGCATCTTTTTATGTTTGCAGGACATTTGGATGGATTCTTTTGTGAAGGGCCCGTTCAAGTCTTTTACCCAGGTTTTTACCATGTTTGCCCTTTCATTGTAGAAAATCTTTGTGTTCTAGATAATCCTTTGTCAAATTGCATGTAGGGATTACATATGTCCTCCTGCTTTATGACTTACCATTTTCCTCTCTTAGTCATACTTTTTGAAGACACAATTAATTGTAATGATCTCCAATATATCAGTCATTTTCCATTATGATTAGTATCTTGTTTCCAGTTAAAGAAATCTTTTCTTATCACATAGATGTGAAGCCATTTTCCTGAGGCTCTTTCTGACATCTTTGTTTCCCACCTTTGGATCTGAAAATCATATAGAAATGGCTTTTGTGAATGGTAGAAGCGGGGTCAAGATTCATTTTATGCATGTGAATACTAAAATAACCCAGCACCATTTTTCAAAGTCTTTTTTAGTACACTCCATGCAGTTTCTGCACTGCAAAGGTTATCTTTGACATAAATTTAATTACAGTATGGTGGGTCTGCTTCTAGTCTATTTCTTTGATCTATTTGTTTACCCTTGTACCAAAACCATATTGTTTTAGTTACAATAGATCTATAATATAGCTTGATATCTGCTAGTGTTAATCATCTGCCAGATTACTTTGGTTATTCTTGGACTCCTGCATTTCCAGATACATTTTAAAAGCAGATGATTAATTTCTGCAAAATAACCCCACAAAAAAACCCCCAACGCTTTTTACTGGGCTCATATTCAAACTATTGATATCTTAATATATTAAATCTTGTAATCCATGAATCCCTTCATTTATTTCTTTCTCTCATTAATGTTTTCAACATACTTATATGTCTTTCATATTTTGCAACTATATTCGTAAGGGATTTTTGCTAGTCATTTTCCATTCTTTATCACCTTGCTGGGTTTTGGAATGAGGATTACACTAGCTTCATAAAAGGTATAGAAAGTGTCATCTTTTTTGCTTTTTTTCTGGGAAAGTTTGTGTAAGATTGGTGTTTTTCTTTTTCCCTCATAAGTATTTAGAGGAATTTCATATTTTTAATGAGTTATTATATATAAAGCACTTAGAAGGTATTTTTGATAGGTCCTATAAAATGTTAACTATTCTTATATGCTTGGATGTCCATTTTCCCATGTAAACCATTACATTAAAATGCTAGAACAGAATGGTAGGCTTTATACAAGGAGACCAATAGAAAGAGGTAATATGCTTTAAGCCATTCTTTATAAGTCACTCTTCAATGTTCATTCAGTTATCAATTGACAGCTCATAATATTTTCAGGGGCTACTTTGATTTTTCAACCATTCTATTGCCATAAAAATTAGATGAATACTTTATGGAGAGGTAGTTATGACAAAGTATGTAGTTTTAAATATCAACAAATAAGACTCCATCTCATACTCAGGAACTTTTCTGTAGTTAATAGGTGTACACTGAGTTCATAATACATCTAATATTTGTCCTTCATAAAATAATTCTTCATAAAATCCTTCGGTCCTACTTATTGCCCACTCTTTCCCCTCTCCTTTCAGTGGAACTTTCTAAGACTTACCTCGATTTATTTTCTCCATTTTCCTGTGTCCACTCAATACTAAACCCAAATCTAGTTTCCTTTCCTACCACTCACTCTATTGCAATGACTCATTGCCAAAGGGTTTGATTGGCATATCATTGGCATATCATTAAGTCAAGGTCATTATTCCATCCTTAACTTACATGACCTCAGTGGCATTTAGCACTGTTGATGACACCTGCCTTCTTGATACACACTCTATCTTTGAATTCTATGACAGCACATGCTTACTGTTCTTCTCCTATTTAATTCTTTTTCTATTTAGTCTTCGCTAACTAATCTTTAAAACTTTGACTGTTGAGTTCAATTTCTTGAAGCATGTAGCATCAATCGTTTTCTATGTCAGTTGGCCCTAATTATCTCTCTCTCAAGCACATTGCATGTCTTCTCTGTGCTCCATGTCCACACATTGTTACCTCTTTGACATCTCCATTGGGGTGCTTCTCAAGCACCTCAAATTCAACAGCATCTGAAACTGGGCTTATGCAGTACTCCCATGAGTGCTCCTATAATTCTCTCTGTAGAAGGGGAGACCATCTTCCTAGACCTGGAGATGAGAAGATCAAAAGTCATCCTGACTGGCTCTACCCTTTCCTTCACCCCATAGTCAAGCAACTTTATTTCCTAACCATTTCCTAATTTCACTTAAATTTTTTTTTCTTTTCTCCAGTGTCACTATCTGCAAGTCCAGGCCACCATCAGTTAATCAGGAGTACTAAAACTGGCTGTTTCTTGAATCCTAATTGCTTGTCTGCAGCCAGTATGCTCTTTCTGAAACTAGAATTTGAGAATGTCAGGCCACTGCTTCAAAGTATCTGTGTAATGTCTGGCTCCACCAAGGGAATGGAGCCTGTTTTACTCAGATAGACCATCAGTTCTCAATATATGTTTGTTAAAAGAAAAATGACAAGAAAAAGAATTAAAACGTTATTCTACCATGCACAAATACTGTATATTCCTGACATGTAGGTAAGGGCTTCTCCAAATATAAGACATCATTTAATTTAAATGTTTATAGTTAACATGGCTGTTGAGCTTATAAATATCACACAGTATATGCTGTGCACTTAATGCAAAAAAATTTATTTCCTAGGATAGACCACCCTAACCTATTCAGCTCAGCCCTCTGCTTGAGAATCATGCATGAAAGGCCAGAGAAAGAAAAGTTGTTATGAGCAGGTCAGTTAATCATGTATTTACTGAGTGTCTGTTGGGTGTTAGATAGGATGGGCTATCTAGCAGAGGACAGTGGGACTCAAGACCTCTGGATCTAGGAGCTATGGCATAATATGGCAGATGCCAGCAAGAACGATAAGATATGTAAGTGTGTGTGTTTGGGGGGAGGTTGCAAAAAAGAAGGGCGGACTCGCATCCATCTCCAGGTCTAGAAAGGAACTAAGAAAGCTTATTTAGGACAGGAGACTAAAAAGTTTTGAAGGAGGGTAAATTTATTCAGACAGAAACTGGGGCAAAAGTATTCCAAACGACTAGTTTGAATAGTTTACCCTGGCATGAAGGAATTGACACAATATGTGAGAGCTTATGGAGGGTCTCCTTGGGTGGTCATTGGAAATGGACAAGATGATATGTCAACACTGTATCTGTCAGATGTTAATAGGTTGGAGACGGAGGAAAAAGCCTGAGAGACATAAAAGGGGATGTTTTTAGGGTCTCCCAGTCCAGAAGATGCCAGTGCCAATAAGGGAAATAAGCAGGTAGAAGAAGACTGTAGGGCTTGGATCCTGAACACATGGAGAGAGAATTTTGAGTTTCTGACCCAGTGAGGTATACATGCCTATAAGACATCCGGGCAGTGCTGGAAAAAGTGAAGTTTGAGGAGAGAACCAGGGGAGCTTGGCAAAACTTCAACATTCCTACTAAAGGATCTGTAATGATCACACAGTGAATCCATAATCCATACATTTTACCTAAAGCATTCTGGAATCTTTCATACAAGTTTCTGATTACTCGTATCGATCTTCACATTTCATTTAACAGCTAACATTCATTTCCAATGTCCCACGCCTACTTAATCAATTAACAATTGCTTTCCATATGCAGCGTATTAAAGGTTGATTTGGGCCTCATGTGGCATCCCGGCTGCCGTTGGTGCCTTAAACTTGACACTTGAGCATTCCAGTCCAGCTATAGAGGGAAGCTGTCTAACTAAAGATGCGTTTTTGTCAGGCAAATTATTTCATTTTGAAATTCTATAGCAAAAGAACAACAATAAAGTATTGGTTCCACTTTTAAATAAATAAGGGGTTATTTTGTTGCTGAAAGTTTTCATTCAAATGACTGATCAGATCTCACATGTCTGTTTAAAAATGTCTGACTTAGGTTGTTATAAAATGACAGACTATGATAAACTAGATGATGGCTGGGAGTGAGACAATGAGGCATTGTTTACACAGAAGATTGAGTAACTGGTTTAACAAAAGGGGTTTTTGGGTATCTATTGTATGTACAACTAAGAGATTTACTGGAGCTTTTATAATTTCTACAAGGCTCTTTTCCAGCCAGCTTCATTAACTTGAAGTAAATCAAATCATGCAGAAATCTGGCGCAGCCAGAAAGCAACCCAGGAAGATACAATATGAAGAAAAACAGACGCGGAATGATAAGGTTTAGAATCTTTGGCATTTTTCATAAACATTTTGTTTGAAGATTATTAAATTACAACCAGAGAGAAAAAGAAATAGTAAGGCTCATGATTAAATCAGGTCCTTTCACATCAACTTGTCTTTACAATACATATATATGGTATTATATATGTATATATATTATATATATATATATGTACTGCTTATACAAGGTATGTGTCAAAAAATAGTCTTTACAACTTAAATATCATTTGAACAGAAAGATATTCACATACTTTTTAATATATGCCCCAAATGGGGATTTTTACAGTGAAATGGTGGGGTATGCAAGAAGCAGATACTATCCAAGGAAGACTTTGAGGTGGTACTTTTCTAGGAATGGGGAGATATTGTTTTATTATGTGTAGCTTATTTTGCCAGGATCAAAAGATCAATTTGGTTTGCTAAGTATTTTCTCTTCCTGTTTAAAAATGTGGAAAAATAAGGGGATTATGACATCAGGGAAGCAACCCCATTTATTATTCCCTTGCTCCCCAACCTTTGTCTTTCTAAATGCCCTCAGAAGTCTTTCATTCACCCCTCCTTTCCCTCTTTCTGAAGCTACAATATTGACATTTTATTCCGGAAATAAGCAAAAACTCAAGTCAGAAGAAATGGAGTTGTAAGGTGAAACCTTCACTTCCCAGGTGAATGAGGCCTTCGGTCCCTGCCGGGGCGCCCACTGGCATCCAGCACCAAGACGTTTACTGAAATTTTACATACAGGCCTTCAGTAATCACAGCTGAAAGATTCCCAAAGATTTGGGCTAATCCAATAATTATTAAAAATCTCTTTATAATATACATTTTTTGGACAGATCCTGGCTGTCAAAGACTTGTTAATTCCAAGAGAAAATTGACTCACATGAACAATAACCTGAAAGAAGAATGGAAACAGGGAGTGAAAATAACTGACTCTTCATGAGACTCTGCCTCAAGGTATGAAAACAAGGTCAAAGTCACTCTTGAATCCAAGGGGTCTCCTAACTGTTCTCAGGGAGGGAGTTCAGACCATGGCAGCCTTTCTCTCCTATTTGAGAAGGGATGTTGGTCTTCCACTGTGTTTGGGTTGTTTCCTTTGGCTGGGCTGATCCACGTTGCAAGTAAGATACCCAGGCGGGCGGACGTGCATGTGCATGTACGTCTGTGCACGTGAAGAAGGGGGCAGAATGCAGAGAGGGCTCCGCACAGGTACCACGGAAAAAGGGGTGGCATAGGTCCAATCGGCCGTACGGGATCGGGTGCTGGTGTCCCTTGTTGGTGTGTGTCCTAGACAGCGCTTCGCTTCTTCCGAAGGGGGCTCTGGCCGCTGCAGAGCTTCAGTTCCGCATAATGCACCTGTGCAAACAAACAGCCATGACGCTGGCGGTTAGGTAACCCTAGCTCCCCACAGTGTGTGTTAATGGCTCCCCAAGGACAAACCCAGGCAAAGGAAGGGAGGTTCAAAGGTAATGAATCATTTTCTAAACACAGGAACACGGAGGGATTAATTGCAGGAAGGATTTGAGAAGTCATGCATCATTTCTTGAAACCAAAATATTAAAAGCAGGTTTTTCTAATGAGATGCATGGGTTTCTACCTGCTTTCGCCACTGCTCGAAGATTTTAGTTGTGTGTGTGCCCGTGTTCAACCATAAGCGAGCCTGATAACTGCCTCTTGGGAATGTTTATCTTAGTATATGATACAGCAACTTCCTAAGAATTATTCATTAAAAAGTATCTAAAATCTTAGAGGCAAGAATTTCTGCAAATTGTATGCATTTATTTTGCCAGAGAGGGAAAAATGTTGAAATTGATACTGGCTCCAGAGTTATGTAGGTTTTTCTTAAAAATGAATTTCATTTACAAGGTAATGGGTAAAACATCTGTAATAAATATGAGCACAGGGGGAGTCCCCAGTGGCAAACTGTCTATTGTGTTATTAAAAAATGCTCTTAGTATACAGAGGATGTTACTAGCATACTGGGAATCCTCCTCAAATGCTCTTTTGTTGTATCCCCTGTATTCATGCCAACTCCAGTTGGGTGACTGCTCTCTGGACTGGTGCCTGGACTATGCAGGGACAGTGTCTAGGCAGGGGTGGGGAAGCTGGATAGGAATTTCCATGCTTCAAGGATGAAAGCATGAACTTACATTGTGACTCAAGTGATGGTACACTGCAATCACATTGCTTTGTGGCTTTATTTAAAGTATTATATTACAGACCACATGTGCTCACTATTTTTTTAGCATTTGTGCCCAAGTCCCCAAGGACATCACACCCCATGACATAAGCTGAGCTACACTTTGTCACAAACAGATGCTTAGAAAAAAAGCACCCTTCCCTTACAGTGTTTTAGGAAGGTCCCTCAGGGGAGTAGGGGATGGCATACCTGTCCACCTTCAATGCAAAACAAATGTGCCAGGTTACTATTTTCTAATCACTTAATGCAAATGTTAATGAGTAACTTCACATTTACGGAGTGCATTTAATAGCTCATTATAGAATGGTGGTTAATGAAAAATAGCATCATGGAATCTATTTTAACAGAGAGCTTGGAATGATGGGAAAGAAACTCTAGGGGTCTTTCAGCTCCAGGTCTCTGCAATCTGGCCGAGCTGCTGGGAACCAATTACAATACAGTGGCCCAAAGATGAAAAAGCGATATTTGATTTGGGATTCTCTCCGATAGTAACGGATTGTGTCTTTGACCATCGTGATGGTATTTCATGCCTTGGTCTCCCCCGTTTACCTGTTCAATAGTTTCTGTTCTCCATTAGCGAAATCATTGCCCACCCTCTGTCCTCTGGGTTTATAGCAGTCTGCTCTGCAGGGGCCTGGATCAGGGCCACTCTGGGACCTTCTAGCATTGCTGCTTTGCTTAATCTCTATGTATCCACAGAAACCATACAGCGCAGGGCTAAGTGACCATTGCCTGTGAATAACACTTCTAACTGATCTCAAATTATTTCACACTGTTATTGCCTCTCTGTGTATTAGAGTGAGCAGGGGCTTTGCCCTTAGCATCCCTAAGTCCTCAGAGGGAAAGGAATGGAAGGCAAGCCCCGGAGATAATCAGGGCAAACAAGAATAAAAAGAGTAATCCTTTTGTTCCCTACCTTCCCTGAAAATGTCTGCCCTCTGGAAGAGGAAGAAAATAAGCAACCCTCCCTGAACTTTGCATGTTTCTCTCTCCCACTCACAGAGCCCATCTTACCCTCTTTGGGGAGACAAGAGATCAAAAAAGAAAGGAAAACGCCATTTCACTACAGCCACACAGTATGAGTTCCAGATCGTTCTTAAGTAGCTCTTTTTCAGGATAATTTTCCCCAATCATCTCATGCTTTGGACAAAGGGTTTCCTGCCACCTCCCTGCAAGCCAGGTCTCTTTAAGGATTTTCTGATTCTTTATCTCAATTACTCACACAAGCACAGCCTTGCACTTCTCTGGCCCTGGCACTAGCCAGACTTCAGGGTTGGGGTGCCTGTGGGTGGTGACCATTCATTACATACCTTTTGAACATCAGACGGTACCCTGGAGAGGAAGTCTAGTAACTCGTTATTGTCGATGGCATAGGGGTTTCGAAGCTTCTTAGTAAATCTATTTATGCCTGAAAAATAAAACACAGCGAAATTGGCTTTGTCCGTCTGTCTATCTGTCTATCAAAACTCGCCTAAGTTGGGGGGGAGGGCAAGGGGGTGGCCTTCACAAGTAAAAATTAGTGTGAAAACAATTACTAGACCTCAAGTCATGTACATGTTGCTGTCATTTGGAATCATTCATAAATGTTTTTTCTTGAAGGAAAGAAGGAGGGACTGTCAGAGAGGGGCTCTGCCTTCTTGAGCTGTGAAAATCCCATTACAATCCCAGCAGCAGGGTGGCAGGAACACATTACAACCGCAGAGCTCCCTGGCTTTTTCAGACTATGTTGATTAACAGCCTCCTTGGCTAGGAAAACAAATGTCCCAGACGGGAAAAGGCCTTCTTCATGCGCCCGAACAAGTTTCTGCTCAGGGGGCTCTGGACCAAGTGTAGCAGTGGGAGTTGTTTTTTTCCTGTTGTTAAAAAGAAGCTTGCAGAAATCTATCTCCCCGACTCCAACTCATTTTCACAGGTTTTTCTCTTCTCCCTGCAGAACAGAACTTGACATGATTGGACTTTAATGCCGCAGAAAACTGTGATAAGTTATTATTGGAAAATTATCTTACTATGGTGGTTACGTTAATTTATGGACCGCAACACCGGGGCGTGGGTTTGTCTAGTCAATGGAGTCTGTGCTAATTTAGGATGGGGACAATAATTAGGAGGACTCAGTGTTTAAGATGTCTTTGGTGGCTGCACCTGCTGCGTGCGAGCGTGTGCAGGACAATCTCTGTCAGTGGTTTCCTTTTCAGAGGGAAGCCCCTCTCAGCCACCTCTGTTTCCTACACTGCTTCTAGGAGCTGCCTAGCCCGTGTCTAGAGCTCATAGGCTGTGTGGTCTTTTCATCAATGCCAACCCTTTTTCACGATGGTTTTAACGCAGAAAGAACAAGTAGACTTCTGAAGTTTTGCCCCACGGAATGCTTGTTTAGCAAGGATCCTACCTGCTAGGTAAACGAATTCTCACCTTAGGTGCGCACTGACTGGCTTCTCCTCCAAAGCCAAGGTAACATTTACCTGTTCAATAGTCCCCAACATATAAAAGGTTTAATGTTTTCCATCATTTAATATTATTTTGCTTTCATTAAGGACTAGACTTCTTGCATGACCTTAATACCCCAGCACAATACCAAACTCCAGTCATTTCTTTAGTGGGTCAGACATATCTGCTTTGCAAATGGGAGCCAGCCGTTGTTCATGAGTAAATGGTGTCTTGGTGGTCGGGCTGGGGAAGGCTTCTTGCAGAGGATCCTTTTTCTCTCAAGTCAAAGCAGCTCTATGCCTTTCTTCCCTCTCCCCCCACAGCAAGCTTCATGTTTCTAGTTAAATTTCCCCCAGCCTTCCTTTAAACTAAAATGTTCTCCACTGTGTTATTCTAAAGACATTTAATTGTAGCATGGGCTTCTTGGCAAAGGCAAACAGACAAAGACGTACTGAGAAAAGACATATCTTCTATTGTTAATTATATATAGTGTGCGCATCTGGAGTCTTTACAATGAACATCAAGGCAGGGATAATATCACAGCCGATCAAAACACTGCATTCTTAGTCACTGAGAAGATTATAAACCTGCACAGTAGCTCAAATGCACCAAGAAGGGCAGAAGTTGTCCATAATGCACTGAGGCTGTCTATGCTTGAAAAACTTGGAACAAAAAATTGTACGGCACTCAGACTGCATGTTTCAAAGGCACACCTTATTTTTTAAGGTGTCACAGGCTCAAATGTCAATTCCACCATATTATCTACCGTGTGAGACCAAGTGTCCAGAGGGCATCACGTACTTGGGGCAAGAAACAGGGTTGTAGATTAGCAGGAACAGTGGGACACCACTCTGGCTTCACCCTGTAGTAGCTGTGTGGTTTGAAAAGAATCACTCAACTTTCCTGCACCACAGATGTCTTATATTAAAAATTAAATAATAAAGACCTGCCTTAGCTAGTTTCCTAGGTTGATGGGAGAATCACCTTGGACAACGGAGGCAGGTGGATTCTATAACCTGACATCGCACAACAAGGAAGGGGGAAATAGCATCATTACTCTAGATGCCAATAAGTGAAGAAAACAAAGGAGGCAGATACAGAAAAGTCTTTCTACTACTGGGCATGTGATCATACACCCAGATTTGGAAGTTGTGGCTTTATCCAGGAGCACAATAGACATACTCCTAGATTTTTGCAGCCTCAGTACAGACACACAGAGGGCATATATGTTGTGAATTTTTATTTTGGCACAAAAAGAGAAGGATCCAAATACCAAAGGATAACATTTGGGAAATACGCAATCATTTAATGATTCCAGATCATACACTGAATAGATCAATGGAGTAGAAAGAGGCCCCCAGTTAAAAAAAAAAATCACTGGAAGACAGACAGAGGAAAAATCACATGGCTGCTTTGCACATATGGCCCCTGGGGAGTAACCACTTGAAACCGAATTGTAACAGTATTTTTCAGATATTTCTATAAGTGATTGGCATGTAGCCCTGACTGTAATACCCTGGTGGGCATGGGTGAGGTGGGGCAGAGGGTCCCTGCTTCCTCACATAACAAACACCGAGTGCTTTGCATGCAGAAAATATTGTGCTATCAAATGGAGATACCAAGTTAAATACGCCAGGGTTACTTCTTTCAAGAAGCTCAAAATCTAGCTTGGGGTATTCATATGTACCTTGAAAAAATTAAAAAGAAAAGTGCCTCAGACCAGAGCTGAGAACCTGTAATTAAAGCATCTATGATGAAGAAGAGAATGAAAGGAATATAGGAAACCTCTCCAAAGGGGCAGAAAAACCCACATGGGATCTGATTCTAAGAAATTCTCTGACTTCCAGGAATACATACATCAAATCAGTGACCAAAATTCAGTAGGTGTGGTTTACCTAAAGAAAATTTCAGATATCCCTCTTATACTACTTCTCACTTCATTTTCAAAAACTATACTCTGAAACCAAGATGATATTGTATATCAACTCTATTCCAATAAAAAATAAATAGAAAGAAAACTATGTTCCCACACAAGAGGTAGTGGGCTCACAACAAAATGTCATCTATGTAGATCACAGGTACTCACCTTGAGCAGATTCATCCACTCACAAAATATTTGTCAAGCACTCCTCAGAAATCTACTATCTATTTTTAGCTGTCCTAGGAATTACAGGCCAAAGAGGAAAGCAAACTGTCTCACCCTCCAAAACCTGACAGTGAACTTGGTGAGTCACAGAATATCCCCCACCAGCCACTATGAAATCAGGCTGTTTTCACAGGCTTTTGTTAATAATTTTGGTACAGAATAAAAATTTATATGAAAACATTATTTTGCTGTAGAATATGGAGATACAGTATATACAGTTGAATAACTTTGTTCCAAAGGGTGAAAAATATTGGAACAAAAAAAAAATCTTTGGATCTTATTTGCCACTTTTAAACTCAGTGAACATGCAAGTCATGTAGAAATAGTCTTCTCATCATTCATAAAGTCAAAAGCAACACTGGATATTAAGGCATATAAAGTTCACTTCTTGTACATGGGAAAGTTTCTGCCAAGGATTCAATCATTTAAGAGGTTTGCAAAAGGAATATCTGGGGTGCATGCTAGCTAATCATTAATTTGCCTTGGAAAAGAGTAAGTGACAGGAGAATTGCATATATTCCATGATGGCATGGAAAGTTTTATATGATGTGAAGAGGTAATAGCTCATTTTCACTGTCAAGGCTTTGAATATTTAACCAATGGTAAGTTCATCAATAAACTACAAGCCCCTGTCTAGAATGTAAAACTAAAGAACCAGACACAGAATATAAAGCTCAAAGGGTTACTGTCAGCCCAAGAGAGCATAAAGAATTCCAGGCTATTTAATAAACTTCATCCATAAACTGAACGATAAATAGAGCAATCTCTTATTAAGTAGATGCCAGAAGTTAGTGTTGGAAAGCTGCCAAGATCTTGGAGGATAAGACCAGAAGAAGCCCAAGTGATTTTTGGTAAATGGGATTGGAATCCCAAAAGTGATGATCAAAAGAGGAAATGCAGTATAGCCTTCTTTGTGGGGGGGGAAGATTCAGAAAACCAAATCAAGTATGCATCAGAACAACGAAGAAATCATTGGGCAACAGTGTTTATCAAACTGACAATGCCATTAGCTGAACTGAAACACGCACAAAACACTGGCCAAATGATTTTAATTTTGAATCATGTTCTGATTGGGGTAAACAACAGTTTTAAGATCTGTGTTTTAAATGTCATTAGTAAATGGACTTGGAAACTCATTATTAAAGAAAAACAGTTAAAAAAGGATAAGATTATTCAGTTTATACAGAAAACATTCATATAGAAGGTATTCAGGCAAACTCTTTTATAAAAGATTCCTTCTTATTTAATAGGCTCTGAAGGGCTCTATGCTTTCTTTCTTAATGGTCAAATACAGACTGAGGGGCAAGAACTGTTACCAAACAAAGCAGTGAAAGACAAAACGAAGCATGGATATGAGAAGACTTTCCCCAAAAGTGAGGGCCATCCAGGATTAATACAGAACCCTGGAGAGGGAATTAGAATATATTTTTCTTCTTTTGGGCTTTCTGCAAAGGAGAGAGAATTCTTTATGTAGGATTTTTGCTTCCTGGACAGAACTGAGAATGAATGGATTATGTCCTTTCAAAATCATTCTACTTCTGATATGTCATGAGTTATTCTATCATTCCTATGACTTTTCCCAATTCTGACTGCCTACATTTGGCTTTTTTTCTCAGCAGGATTCCATCTTGCTAGGTTCCCTTTGGGAAGGTCTACACTGAATGGTTTTAGGAATGTTGTAACTTTCATTTGACATTTACAGGCTCTCAGCTTCTGCTTAGAGATGAACCCATCTCAGTGCATCACTTATGTTCGTGACTTCTCTGAACATCGTCACATCTGAAGATCCCTGGAATCTGGACTATAGCTTCAAACTCAACAGCAGTCAGAGGAACAACCAATGGACAACCAGGACTGCCAGGCTCTTACAGAGAAGGGTTGATGCTTTTCCAACAATTAATTTGCTGCAATGCAGTCTCCTTATATCAATCTGGAGCCCACCCAGCAACAGACACAAATATTTACAAGGGCTGTTTGCATTTTGTCCAACTGCTAGCATGAGTAGTAAATCAAGCCATGAAATTGATTCCACGTATGACATTTTTGTTTCTACCTTTTTAAAGCAGCTAAACTTTATATAGGCACACTATCTTCCCTGCTCAATAAGAGCTTCCTCTCCCTTCAGGCACTGGTTAGGTAGCAGTGACCAAGTGACACCCCCCTCCCCCACTTCCTCTATTCCTTATGGATTTCAGTACTGGGTTTTTTTTTTTTTCACTCCTGGAGAGATGAAGTGTCAGGAGCAACCTAGCAGCAGCCAGATCTACTTTTAAAAAATATGAAGGGCAAGATGCAGTTATTTGCTTACTATTTGGATAACAGTGTTTCCTGCAAAGTTACTGGGCCACAGCAATATATGATTCAAAAGTGTTTATGACTATGAAAGCCCAAAGGGAAATCGCATGCACAATCACATTTTTATTTGATTGCAATTATGTAAGAGGCCTATAAATATCTAACCTGATCATTGTTCATGCAAACTGGCCTTTTCAGGGAGGTCCTGGAGTTTTTGTTTCCCTAAATGTTTTCCTTTCTCTCACATTTAATTGCCAACAAGAACACTTAAAGTTTACAATCGCACTTTAAAAACGAGTCACTGGTTCTTACCTGGAATTGATGGTTAGCAAAAGGACCATGCCAAACTTACCCCAGACTAAAATGATGTACCGAAGTGGAATGAAATACAAAGTGACAGTGGCCACTGCCAGGATCAAACAGGCCAGGAATGAAAGGAACGGGACCGTCCAGTTAAATGTGCTGTAGACAAACCACAAACACATAATTTTGTCTGAAGCTCAAGAACAGCGATCTACTCCTCTTAACTTTTGTTAGTTACACCAACAAAAATGGTCGATTAGAAGAGTTTCTTTAAAAACCTGAAGATGGCAGTCTGCCAAACTGGGCACCGAAACACAACATCCTTGAGGAGAAGGTCAGAAGACCAAGTGCCATTCAACGTGTCAGAATCGGGGTGGCTTTGTCTTCCTGGAACCAACAGCTTCTGAGAAGACGTTTGGCCCCCACAAAGTGATTGAAAGCTGCAGTACTGTCATGACAGCTCCGTGCATGGAGATCTTCAAAACGGAAGGTTAGTTAGGTCACTTCCAAGTCAATATTTCTTTCTCAATTAACACACGGTTGCCAGTAACCGCCTAGACAAGGGAGGATATTACTACAGTGCTTCGTTGCTTTTCTGTTTTCTAATGACTTACATTTAGAATTTCCAGACTCATTTACTCCAGAAGGTTAGCAGTGCCCTGAAATGCACTGGGGAGCATTTGGCAATTAACCATTACACCACCCGTAGGCGGTCCATGTGATGTTCCCACAAATTACTTTCATGGGCCCGCTGGCTCTTTTCATGGTACGGTTGCCTCCTCTGAACTTGTATGGAAATGCACATCTAGAACATAGGCTGAGGAATTGAATGTACTGTGGAAATCCTTGCATAGTCTGATTTGCTTCCCAATTTATTGCTTTCCTGTCCTTTAAAATCTTTTTAAAAATATTTTTTATGATTTTGTAAACATAAAAAGTATATATTTTACAGAACCAAATTTCTCAATATTTTCTCATTGATTTCTAGATCTGGGAATGCTTATAAAAGATGTCCTCCAGTCCAGCAACTGGACACCACCAGACTGAATAATCAGTACTTCCCCCACTTATGCCTTTTTCTAGGTTACTCTAAATTTCTACCTACACATCGGTCTATTCCTGATTTCTCTCTTCTACAGCAGAACTTCTATTTGAACTTTCTGGAGGCCACATCACAATATTTGTGTAAATATTATATGGACTCCATACTTGCCCCCATAATGCCATGGCAAGAAGTTTAACCTGCAAATATCCTTGCACAGGGACAGTGGGCTGGCGCCTGAATGTCTGCTGCAGTGATTAAAATGGGAAATAGCCTCTGTATCATTAATAGGACAGTATCTAAATAGAAGGAAAACTCTAAATAGATTTATACTCTGCAATATCATGCAGCTTTAAAAAGCAATGAGAATATAAAAAGAAGACCCATACAACACCCCTGCCTGTAACACAGAGGCTCAAAGTTAAAGGTTTGAAAAAATAAGTTGCATAAATAAATGTGCATGTATGTATGGGTGTATATATATATATAGATAGATAGATAGATAGATAGATAGATATATCAACATATAGATATATAGATATAGAGAGATATAGATAGACATATTTATTACTGAACTCACACATGTATAAACATAAAGGTTTTTATCATGAAGAAACCTCTGAAGGATATACTCCTAACTGTTAACAGCAGCTCAATATGAAAGGGGAAGGGGGGGAGGGGAAGGAGAGAGGGAGGTAGACAGAAGGCTGTCTGTTTGATTACTTTTATAATGGCTGCACATCATATTCATAATAAAAATAAATAAAAACAGAGTAAGATATAATGAAATCAGTATATCAAAACTACAACAAATATGTAGAAACAAACAGCAAACTCTGCCCTATTTTGTTTGTTTTTTTAAAGCAGAAGATTAAAGAGTGGCAGACCCTGAACAAATCCATAACTAGGTAGCAATAAAACTGTGCTTTTCTCACTCTGGTATAATAATGTTTATTTATTAACCTAGTAGTTTACAATATAAAAATCATGCTCATTCCCATTTTCATTATCGTCAGCAATTTACTCAGCAACTCTGATTTAGTTTTCCCATCTGTAGAATGGGAATAATAAAGGTATGTATTTTACAGAGATGCTGAGGAGAATTAATGAGTTAATAAATATAAACCATTTAAAAACAGTATCTGGCACATAGTAATTATGTAACAAGTGTTAGCCAGACTTATTTCCTTGTTATTGCACAAAAGTGATATAAATATGAAAAGAAAGCTAATTACATATAGCATTTTGAAGATAATAAAAGCTATGGAAAAATGCATGGAATTACTTCTTACAAAGAAATTACATTATGATTCCTCGAATAGCAATACCACCTGGCTTTAGAATTTCAAAAAAGTCAAATACTAGGATAAATAATTTTTAAAACCTTTAAAAAAAACAGAGAAAAATAAACGAAAGCCATCAGGAGGTTGATATAAAAATAAGAAAGCAGCAGAATGCAAAAATTAAAAAGAACTGTAAGAACTCTGGGAGGTAATTAGGGTCCAAAGCACATTTCCACCAAATCTCTGCCAAACATTACAATTTTGAACTTCTGTCTCTTACCTGTTATGATACATGGGGGAGGGGTGGGGCGCATAAGGTGAAATGTCCATACGGGGAGATTCTAATAGGAGACTATGGCACAAAGCTAACACATTCAGAGTAAGGATGAATTTTAAAAAGAAAGAGAAAAAAAAAAGAAGGAAGAAGAAAAAGAGAAAGAAAAGGAGAAGAAAGGAGAAAAAGGAAGTCCACCATATATTAATAGATGCAAAGAACTCTGCCTGTCATGACCCTGGTGCTAGGTAGAGAGATTCTCCATCTGGGCTTAAGCTACCAGTGTAGTTTGAAAAGTCTCAGTGAAGATTAAAAAATAGAATAAAAGGGATCCCAGGGTGGTAGTCCTCCAAGGTCCCTGAATTGGGTCCCCCACTAGTTGACCTTTGTGTCAGTGGAATTATTATTGTCCTCATTTCCCAGGCTTGAACAAAGGAAGTCCCCTGAGTCTTCCACCCGTCGACACAGAACGACTGGTCCTCTAATCCTGCAGATTCTTCTTTGGAGGTGTACCCTACGAGGTGCTTTCTTCCCCATGTGCATGCTGTCACTCCAGCTCATGAACTCTGTCCACACACCTGGCCTCTACCCCTTTCCTGGGTCTCTCTGACTTCATGCTTTGTCCCTTTCAACAGGTTACTCTCAGATTAAACACAAGGTGCATCAGTCTGTCACGCCCCATGTCCTCACGATGATTGTCATTGCACTTTACTTGCTTTCTCATCCTTACGGCTCCTCAGCAGCACTTCTTACCCAGAGAAGCTCTACTTCTGTGATGTGCCTTCTCAGCCTTATTCTAGAACCTTTGCAGGGATGGCCTCCCTCTCCTAGGCCTACCTTAACCTCATTATCTCCTCCACGGAGATTTCCCTAACTACCCCAGGACACAAGTATGAGAGTCACCACTCCACAATGATAGGACATACGGCAAATACCTTCTGACTCATCCTGTCTGCTGTCTGAGATGATATAAATGTTACATGTTGAGTAAATGTTTTAGTATCTTATATACATGCATTTGAAATATGTGTGATAACAGAAAAGGCAATTGGAGAAGGTAGAAGAGAGTAGAAAGAAGAAAATGTACTTCATTGCATGTAAATGAGATGCCACTGGGGTCCTCCGCATCAGCAACTCTTGCTCCAAGAGTTTTATGTAAGCCTATTTATTTATTAGTTGCCAGAAGTTGAGTGAAAGTTTTCCTGGTCCTTAAGAATTGAATTACAATGGAATTCCAACCGAGTTACACATGACATCCCACTTGAATAGCAAGCAGGAACTTTAAGGTCACTGTAATAATGAATGGCCAAAGAATTAATCGGAGCGGAGCATCATGAGCCTTCCTGTGTTGCAGCTGGCAGAACAGTGCTCTGTTCATGGCTGAAAATATGTCTCAGACATGGCCACTGCAGCTGCGCTGGGCACAGCCGCCCCTCAAAAGCCCTGCAGAGTCGGGGGCCTGTTTAAGACACTCTGCCCTCCTCTCTCATCAGATACATTTCCTTTACCATTATCAACTGCACAACGGCCACATTTGTCTATTAGAGATGTGCAAGCACCGAGACAGTTTTGTCAAACCACACGGACTCCATCCTCCGTCTGGCCCCCTCTCCACATCCTCTTATCCTCCTTGCTTCCATTGCATCCCTCACTCAGTGTTTTCATGGGCTTTTTCCACCTACTCAGCATCCCTTTCTCGGCGGGACAGACCTCCCCTAACATCCTGTCTTGGGTGGACTGAGCATCAGAGCCACTAAATTCTAATTGTCTTATGACTCTTCTTCTCCCTTATTGGAAAATAGATCTCTAGAGGATAATGACATTATTGTGTAGCAATGAGGAGGGCAAGGACGAATCCAAGCTCTCTGGCTTACTAGTTGTATGACCTTGGGCTACCTATTGAGTCAATCTGTGCTCTACTTTCCTTATTTGTAAAATGGAAATACTAAGGACCCTTACTCCATGGGGCTGCTGGAATCTTTTAATCCGACTCTTTTAAGTAACTCTTTAAAGAAGTTACTCTGTGTAAAGGGCTTACAACAGTCTGACTGACACATGACATCAGTTGATGTTCCCATTATCATTGTTATTATAGATGCATTTCTCAGTCTTAGACCGAGTCAGCATGTGGAACCCGGTAACTGACAGGCAAATGAACGAAAGCTGTAGTGCCCTCTGCATATTTTCACTACTTTCTACTGTTATAAATTCAGTAAAACTCACCAAATCTGTTTAAAGATGGTTTTGAACCTATTTTTTAACAAAACAAACATGTTTACTTTGCCAGTGATAAATGGACATTCAAGAGCAATTTCATTTGATAAAGAACTGAGAAGGAAGATGATTGGCCATAGAAAGTTCCGTATTAGCTATTTATATTTGTTGATATTAATGATCACTTCTTGATTTCCCTGCATCTTGATATACAAAACTTCCGCTTGGCTTTTAGCACTGATTATATTCTCTTCTTTACCCATGCAATTTCTAAACATTATCTTCTTTCTTTAAGCTAGAGTGACCAATACAATAAGAAAAAAATATTAATGAATCTTTAGATAGAAAAATTCTAAGGGGAGAATAAGTTTATAATTCTAAAGAAAAAAACTTAAAACGGCTCTGGTTTAAAAAAAAAAAAGCTCTGTTCATTGGTACCAAATAAAGACCAAGTTCTGCAGAGTTCACTGTGTATAAACAAAACAAACAAATGAACATGAATGTGAATTACAGAGTCAGTCTCAACTTGACACCACATTAGACAATTTAGCCCTCAGGCCTTAAGGCAAGGAGGTGCAAGCTATGGGTTGGATTTGAGTCAAACCTGGCTGCCACCTGTTTTTGTAAGTAAATTTTATTGGAACACATATCACACCCACATATTTACATATCACGGATGACTGCTTTTACACTTAAATAACAGAGTTGAGTAGTATGGCTCACAAAGCTGAAAATATTTACTCTCTGGCCCTTACAGAGAAAGTTTATCGACCCCTGTCCTAAGGCATCCACACACGTGGTAAACTGACTTCCCATCTTTGCATCCATGATGCTATTAGCTTAGACTATTCTTTGGAAAACTGAGAAATCTGTTCACTCAAGGCATTTACCTCTTCCGTGGTTCAGATGAAAAAGGCTCCTTTAGGGCATATTTGCTTCTCTTTTATTCCTGAATAAGATACTGTATTTGTATTAACCTATATTTTATCACTCTAGCCAGGATAGTTTTGAGAGCAAATGGAGCCCTACTAATAATTATGCTGGGGGAATTGGTATGAATCAGCCATGCGGTCACCCCAGTTCCGCAGCTCTGACCGCCTGTGAAATCAATAAGTTCAAAGAACAAACCGGAGTAAACAGGTGTCACTCCAACACCTTTGCTTTCGTTTTTCTGTTCCTGCATTTTCTGATTCCACCCTCCCCACCCTCTGTCTCGCTGTCCTTGGGGATGGCGGCTCGGCTTCAAATACCACAATGCAAATGTTGAACTTACTTTTTAATTCTTTCTCCAAAGGAAGCTATTTCCTCCAAGATGTTTTGAACAGTGGAAACAATATCCTGTACCATGTAGATTCTTTCAATTAACCCTTTTTTCTCGGATTCCTACAAAACATAAAAGCAGTATTTAACCCAGTTAACTTCATTTTTATTGTCCTGCTGTAGAGACCATTATACCATAACAGAACAACATGGTTATTATCCATAGAAGGACTCCAAGAGATAAATTACGTTTTTCACAACTTATTTATTGATGCTGAAAAAAAATCTTTGCTCACTTGTTCAGATGTCACTGTTGGCAGTGTGCAAACCTCAGTTACTGTCGCAGTATGATGAGGTGAGGAAAGACACCCCCACAGAGCCAAAGGCTTCATGTCCTTTGGGGGCTTCTGCTTCTGTCAGAGCACCAACTCTGCAGCCCCTTCCATTTGACTAACCCTGATTTCTTCTCTGTCTTTACAAGGTGATCTGCCAGCTCGGCTTACTTCACTCCTATTACAGCCCTTCAGAAATGTTTCCAGCAGGTAACAACAGGGCCTGTCAGGGACCCAGATGGTATGTGTCCTAGTATCGTGGCTTCTTAGTCAAACTGTGCTGCATTTTTAATCATGCCTTAAACCCACTGCAGGCCTGAGGCATGCTTCAGTTATCCTTTGGAAACTACTTTAGAAATAGAGACAGTGGCTGGAGACATGCTACAAAGTCAACGGAGAGTACACGGCTGGGCATGTCTCCCACCCAACTTGTTTCCTAGGAGGATGCCCAGCAATTGATTGGTTTTTCCTTCATGGAATTAGAAGCAAATAGAAGACAATCTTTTTCAATCTCTGATTCTTCAAATGAAATGGATTTCAACTTTCTAAGAAGAGTATTTTTATTTTGCTTATAGAAAATCTTGAATGTGTGTGTTATCATATTAGGTAGCCAACGCTAATAAAAATAACTGAGAAATTACTCAAATGTTGGAGAAAAGAAAAGTCTCTAAAGAGTGATATTTTTACATTATTTCTTATGTCCTGACACCATCATCTCACTCCTTTATGGACTCCATTGTAACTGGGATCTAGCTAGGGTCCCCTCGGCTTTTGACTATCTGCGTCACTATAGTCACTACATCTAGTAAAACCTAAAACCTCCAATAACTCTTAACAATATTTTTTTCCTTTCTAGAATTTTACTTGAGTTAAATTGTACTAAATTATGGAGCAAAAGCTTCTAAATTCAAGAGACCATTTCTATAGTAATACTCTGTGCAGCAAAAGAAAAAAAATCATTCTCATCTTGTGTTGTCTGTTCCATCCTACTGGAGACGTGGAGTGAAGGGCACCCCACCACCCTATAGGGGTTTCTTGCAGGAGCACTGCTATGGCAGAAATGTCAAAAAGCACAAACTCCCCTTCTTACATTTGCCCTTGTTTGTGAAGTTACTTGGCTCAGAGAGACCAAAAATAAGGGCAGAGGCCAGAATGGATCACAGCCACCCCCTCTTTAGTAAAGGGTGCTGGGATGGTTTGAATAGCTTCTGGCCATCTGGTCTGTACTTCTCCAACCATTTTGTGTAGAAGGAGAATTCAGGCTCATTGTGTCGTCTCTGTATATCAAATCTGCAAGACATTTTTACTTTTTTAACCTAATTTAAAATTTTTATTTCCTCCATTCTCTTACTGAATCTAATATTCCAAGCAGTTTGCCTTAAAAGTTAGATATGCTGCCAGAGCAACCTAGTGCATGCTTAGCAATCCACCACCATCTATTAATGGGCACAATGGTGAAAACCCGTCTCTGTCTGCCCCATAAGTATTCATGTTTATAAAGCAGGATTTGAAGGCACTGGGGAATTTGACCCAAAGGGCAAAAGTGGCTTCCTCTTTTCAGCAGCATAGAGTTTGGGTCAAAACAATTTCTGGGAAAATGACTCAGATTTTCATGTGGCTCAAATTCATAAAACTTTCCTATTTCAGCTGATTTTTTAAAATTTTGGTATAAAACATCCAAACGCTGAGGTTCTGGTTATGAAGAAAGCATAAGTTAGTATACCAAAATACTAAATGATTTTCACTTGTCCAGTTACTTTTTTAATGAATTTGATGTTTAAGTTTGCATAGGCTAAAGAGTCCTCCTACAGAGAGGGTAACAGGAATATTTATTGGCCAAATCCATACACCTTTAAGGGTTAATCAGAATTATATAATTTTTGAAATATTTACCTACTGAAAGCTTGGTTTTATTATAATGGATCTATAAAATTATTTCATATTATTTTTATTTATTTTCATGAATGATTATTTTAAAATAAAAATATATTTTATGTGCATTAAAACAGAACAAACTTGTATGATACCTGACTATTTTAAGATGGTATATGAAGAATGATTATTTGGGCCACATATTCATTTATTTAATTAGCTTCCTAGCGATAGCTGTCTGTAACCTGTCAGAGTTATTTTTCAAAAGAATGTACTTTCTAATGTCATCTTTTCATTTAGAGTGTTTCATACAATTGTTCTTAACCATCTCAGAATTGTACTTAATGGTCATTAAATCACACCTTTAATTGCCTTTACTGTAGGCCATAATTTTAATTATGAAAATTCCCTCTCTGCGGGCACTGAGTTCTTTGCAAACTCACACCAAAAATGTGATACATGAGAATATTATCAATTCTATTTTTTAAATATTGAAATCTGTGTATTTCAGCCCAAATATTTTAAAGGCACTATATTTTGTATCCATTCACATGAACTTTCTCTGCCAAACATTTTTTTCAAAACAAAGCTTCAAGTAAGTTGTCTCCATGATTCTTTTGAATGTTCAACAGATTTATGCTGAAAAATCAATGGCCTCTCAACTTCCTTACATTCCTGGGCAGAATGTATAGTTATCCTAATAAAAAGTAAAAGATGTCTTTCCACAAATTGATATATTCCAAAGAATAATTTCAGAATGTAAACACGGCATCAGGCACAGCTTTTGACCCCATACTTTACCTTGTCCCAAATAATCCTTGCTTTTTGCAAAGAAAAAAAAAAGTCTATTTTGCTAGCTCTTTGTAAATTCACCTCCTTCCATCAAAGCTTTCAAAGATGAAGTTCCTTAGCACTTCAGTGACTGAATGCTTTGATTTAAAACTTCCAAATGAGTGTGACCAAAATGCAACCCGAACTTAAACACTTTTTTCCACAAGATTTCAATAACGTTGGGGAATGTTTAAATCAAGAGCTTTTCAAAGGTTCAAATATTTCTAAAATCAGATTGGTGATGAGTGACAAAAAACAAGTGCATCCTGCCCTGCTGAGGTATACTTTTATATTTGACATATCTTGTCACAAAAATTTTATTGTTGCTACCTGACTTTGTATGCATACAATATCTACAAATGGGAACACTACTGCTTCTAATTCAGTCAGTGGAGCATTATCTCTTGTCTGTATGCAATCATGAATAATAAGGGCTCCGTGGCCAATCCCAAGTACTTTTCTGCCTCATAGATTCCTTCCATTTTATAATATCTGATTAGTGAATATGCTGTGCTCCATCAAAATTTGCATTCATATTATCCCTGAAAAATTAAATAACCCTCAATGCTAAATGTTTGGACTAAATTTACAGTGGCATCCCTGATGTCAGAAACTTCATCATTTACAAAATTAACTTGCAAAAGCTCTATTTTGACTTCCTATATTTGAAGAAAACAGCAAAACAATTTCAGATTAATTTTATTTGATACTCTTTGAACCATTTGATGGCATTCAGATAAGACTGGCATCATTTGACTTTATACAAGGTTTTTAATAGGCAGATGCTACCGGAGTCAACATATTAGCAGCTGCCTTGCCTTGATCAGACATGTACAATGAAATCCTGGGATGGAAGATAAGAGACATATGGAAGAACAGACATTTGATCTAAATGAAAAGTCATGCTCCACAGAAAGATAGGTAAACACACCTTTTTGTTTGTGTGAATTAACAGCATGTTTCCAGATATGGTCTCCTTAAAGTAATTACTAACTAGTGAAGGCTCCTCAGCAGATTTGTGACTCAGGTTTACACATATCAGTGACATGACCATGGCCCACGGGAGTAGATGGAAAATGTAAACACACATCCCTTAGTTGATCAAAAATTATTTTGAGATATGGAATAACTGCTTGATTATTTGCTAAACATGTACTTTTTATATTATTATTACTCATTGAAAAAGCATTGTCAAAAAGTAAAAAAAAACAGAAAAAAAAGTAAAGGCCTCTCAACTTCCTTACATTCCTGGGCAGAATGTATAGTTATCCTAATAAAAAGTAAAAGATGTCTTTCCACAAATTGATATATTCCAAAGAATAATTTCAGAATGTAAACACGGCATCAGGCACAGCTTTTGACCCCATACTTTACCTTGTCCCAAATAATCCTTGCTTTTTGCAAAGAAAAAAAAAAGTCTATTTTGCTAGCTCTTTGTAAATTCACCTCCTTCCATCAAAGCTTTCAAAGATGAAGTTCCTTAGCACTTCAGTGACTGAATGCTTTGATTTAAAACTTCCAAATGAGTGTGACCAAAATGCAACCCGAACTTAAACACTTTTTTCCACAAGATTTCAATAACGTTGGGGAATGTTTAAATCAAGAGCTTTTCAAAGGTTCAAATATTTCTAAAATCAGATTGGTGATGAGTGACAAAAAACAAGTGCATCCTGCCCTGCTGAGGTATACTTTTATATTTGACATATCTTGTCACAAAAATTTTATTGTTGCTACCTGACTTTGTATGCATACAATATCTACAAATGGGAACACTACTGCTTCTAATTCAGTCAGTGGAGCATTATCTCTTGTCTGTATGCAATCATGAATAATAAGGGCTCCGTGGCCAATCCCAAGTACTTTTCTGCCTCATAGATTCCTTCCATTTTATAATATCTGATTAGTGAATATGCTGTGCTCCATCAAAATTTGCATTCATATTATCCCTGAAAAATTAAATAACCCTCAATGCTAAATGTTTGGACTAAATTTACAGTGGCATCCCTGATGTCAGAAACTTCATCATTTACAAAATTAACTTGCAAAAGCTCTATTTTGACTTCCTATATTTGAAGAAAACAGCAAAAC